TTATTTTAAAAATTAAATGATATAAAAAATATAAAAAAATTTTTAGTTTAAAAATCAACTGATATAAAAAATTTTCAAAAAAAATGACGCTTTTCGCGCGGTGCGTATTAAACTCCATACATCGTCCAATAACATTTATACCAAATTACATTTTAATTAAACAAATTTTAACAATTTTCAATAAAATGACGTTTTAATCGGCCATATTGAATCGGCGATTTTTAAATAAAATCACGATTTTTTTAGAAAATAGCCACATAATTCATCTTTAAGGTAAGCCCAGAAAGAAGTCGATATTTTTATTTTTCTAGAAGAGATGAATTTTTAAACATTGGGGAAAAGAAGCTTCAATGCAAATAACATGGCATTTGATTTTTAAGATAAAAATGTTTTTTTGAGTACATGTACTCTATAAATTTAAAAAATATTATTACAGAAAATTGTATAATAGATTATTTTTGTAACACATGTGTCACTATAGAATATATAGAGCTAAAAGATTTATGTTGATAGACGCACGTATGTACATACATATATAAATGCTCGCGCGCACATACATAATATTTTAAACAAAATTTTTAAAAAATTTCTTGTATTTGTGATACAAAAGACATTATAGACAATGACAGAATAAAATGCAAAAGATAAAAACTTACCGACATAGGGGACATATTTTATGACAACACAGTGATCGGGCTTCTCTCCAGGCTTATAGAGAATCTTGTTGGATTCCACCATATCATCTATAACGTTACTCTTGGAGATCTGCGTACAAGATCAATCATACATGTATGAAGACATACAATATAAAATTTAACATATGATATGTATTTCAATTTTAAGTTATAAATAAAAATAACATAATGTAATATACAACATGTAAATAATATGTATATATAGAAAATATAACATTGTAGATATAAAATCGTTATAGAATTCAGTTCTTTTTGCATTCTTACTGCACATAAGTACGCATACATACATATATACATACAGGAAGATATATTTTAATATATTTAGATTAGACGTAAAACAATATCATATTAGACATAAAATGTCTCTTATAGTGTGTAAAATAATTATATTATTCCACTTGAGAAGCTACAAATGATTTCAAAATAATTTTGAGAAGAATCACACATTTTAAATACAAATTTAGGCAAGCACTTGAAAATATATAACTCTTGTCTAAAGGACGTTTTCATATCTCTATTAATACAGTTAATAAAAATTTTAATTAACTATCTATGTATAAAGTCCAATATATTTTTATATTTTCTTCCATGTGTCACATACCTCTTTTGAGCGAAATTGCTGAGGTGCGGACAGATTGTATCCGTCGTTGTTTCCTAAATGATTGTAACTAACAATCGACACCGGTTTTATACCGGCCGACACGAGAAAATCCACAAGCACGGACTTGAGTTTTGTTTGACCAGACTTGAAATCGTCTCCGCCGATGAATGTCTTCTGTCTCTTGGCTAATTCAAGGGCACCCGGCACAAAAGTGTTTTGCGGCGATCCATTGATGTAGGTACACTGTTTAAAAATTGTTTAAATGTACAAAAAAAGCCCATACTTCCGCTCACCGTAATTTTTAATTGCTAATAAAATTACACAAACACACGTGAATAAAGAGAAAGAGAATTCATACACATAGTTATAAATTAATTTACAAGAGATGTAAGAAAGATGTAAGATGTAATTGCATAAGAAAATACTTTCCAAAAATATATTGTTACATCGCAAAGAAAAATTAATTCCAAACTAATTTAATATCTAATTTTTTTCTGTTTCTAGAATAATAATTATTTTAACTATCCCATTATTAGTTATTATTAAAACTATTCATTTTTATTATTAAATACTAATATCATTATTGAATCGGTTTACTGACAATAAGAGGGGGGGGGGGGCGGCGAGAAAGAGAGAGAATCGTTTGTCTTTCTTTGATCTATAAAATTCTGGGAAAATATAACTATTATCAATTTTTTAAATATTTACTTTAAATTGTTTAACTGATCTTTTCTTTCTCTTAACTTTCTGTTAAACATTAAGTTAGACAAACATCTCATTTTCCTTAAATATTATTAAAAAAAAGAAGAATAAGTCATATTTCAATTTTAATCATACTCCTTCTAGAGCCGCTGCCACAGCAAACATGGTGCTAGGACTAATCTCTAAGTGATCTTCTTCGATTGCCTTCAATAAGTTGTCGGCTGTATCGTTGACACCTGTTATGATTTCCGAGAATCTTTCGGTATTTGCAGTCCATAAAACAATGATTTGATTGAGACCTTTTGCGACCTTAAACTGCGTTATGTCATTGCGAATCAAATTAAGTTGCTCGAGCTTGGTGCCCATAATGATGTTATTTGCTCTTTTGCCCTTTGTAAACAAATTTTACAAATATTGATTATTGTATTATAATGAGAAAAGTAATTGATTACTTAATCGATAAGAAAGAGTAATAACGTTAATGTAATAAAAATACGCTTTGTGTGTGTCTGTGTGTGTCCGCGCGCGCGGACACACACACACACACACACACACAATGTTTTTTTCAAATTAAATGTAAAGATTTCGCATATTATTTACAATACAAAAATAATTTTTCTAATTTCTTGTTTCTTATTGTAATATTTAAAGAATATTGAAGACATTGAAAATTACTGATACCTCTTGTTTCACAGATGAACGTGTTGTCACCTTCAGTTTTCTTATGTGGTACCATAAAATGATTTTCCGTCTTGAAAAACTAACAATATCATTTAGCTTCTTAAATTAGAAACATTACATACAGTCTATAAATTATATAATTTATGGATTTCGCATGTTTTCCTTTAATTTCCTTGCATATAATGATTTTTCGTCTGTCATCTCTCCAAAAAATATATTACAATCCACAAAAATATAATAAATTTCTTTATTATACAAATTACAAATAAAAATAAATTATAAAAATTGTATACCTACATGTCCATAATTTGGTAATTAATATTATTTTCAGTTTTCTTATATATAATGACTTTTCGTCTATCGGGTTTCTCTCACTTATTCATTTACTCATTTACTTACTCATTTCACACACTGTCGTTTCCATTCTACATCATACATATGTATATGTATGCGTGTATACTTCTTTCTTTAATTTTTATATACCATTGGTATGCGAATTCAATGGAATTACATTGGTTTTGCCAACGTTGACGATAGCAATTTTAATTTATCTAAAATTCTTCATAAACAAAATTCTATTTTTTTTTAATTAAAAGCAATTGTAACAAATTTTAGCATAAGTACAAATTGCAAATATCTTTTAAAGTAAAGAAGAAGTAAAGTTAATGCTACCCAAGAAAATAATAAACTGAAGATAAAGATAGTTTTATGGTAAAAATCATAAATTAATTGGATTTTGCATTTTACTATTGATTAAAAAATTGTTGAATTTTCAACAGAAGACAGACGAAAATTCATATTGTAAGAAAACTGAAGGTTTTATGCGAAAACTTTCATAAATTTAGATTTTATAATTAATTCAGTAAAGGATCAATTTTGCACGGCATTATGTCGCACAGGCAACATTGAATTCTATCGAAATTAATAATTACCTGATTCGAAGCAATGAAATCAGGATAATATATGCTTTTTCTGGGCCGCATGTGAGCCATGTAGTGCCGCAATTGTACCTGCAGGTTTACATCCAGCACTTTGGCACGCGTCATAGCTTCCGCGAGATTTACATTTGAAATATCCCAGCCGTCGATTTCAATGTCATTAGGATTCACCATAGGCAGCATGCTGGAGAGGGGCACATAAACATCTTCCCCTTTGGCTCTTCTACCCAATTTCACGGTAGATGCTTGCGTCAGGGAACCGTACCTGAAGCATAATGGAAATTGGAGGAATGGAATGAAATGGGAAAAAAAAAAAAAAAAATAAAGCTACATGAAAGAAAAAAGGGTACAATAGAAATTCAAGGTTGAAATATATATTATAATACAAGTTTGGATCGGTAATCATAAGATCGATACAGTGTAGGTATATGATGTGTATCGGTCTATGGAGAAAAAAAATTAAGAATATTAATTAAATAAAAATAATCACATTATTCTCATTTTTCTGACAGTTTTGTTGAAAAATAATATCAATCTCAAATAAATAAAACAGATAATAAATAATAAATACATTTCTGTACAAGACGTACCAATTGGCAGTTTTTAGACCTTCTTTCGTCTCCCACGATAATTTAAGCTTATTCGCCAATAAAGCTGCTGTCATGGTACTACCATTGTTACCACCCCAGCCCACTAACATCAGGCCTAGTTTCGGAACTTTTATCATGGTTTTGATCAGCAATTTTGTCGATATAGGTGTAACCTGCAAAGAACAATAGAATAATGAAATATGCAATGTTTTAAAATATTTTTAAAATACTTATACAGTGATAAAATCGCCGCTAGCTCATTTTATTGTATCTATGCCTTATGGTCGCAGCGTGATTGTTAACCGCAGCGCGGTGACGTGGACAAGAGTGAATAGAGATTGATTTTGATAATCCAATATCCATCATTATCTAAAACTAATCCAATTCAATCCTGGAGGTAATCTAGTCAAATCTCACAGCCATTCTTAACTTCTCTCTCTCTGGTGAGAAGACATACACATACACAATGATATAACGTACAGTACATACCTGTGTATATATATATGTATATGTATGTATGTATATATATATATATATATACATACATACAATATGCATAAGCTAATAAAATGTTTCTTGAAATTTTTTAAAATCGAAATAATATCGTCAATAATTGTGCTAAAATTCTATATATAATTAAAGTCTTACAATTAAACGCGATCTAGTTCTAGATAGATTAAGTTGTGAATAGATATGCTATATAGATAGGTATAGGTAATAACATATAGCTGTGCTTTATACGCGCGCGCGCGGTCGACCTTATGGAAGCCTTCTAGAGTGATCTAAAACAATCTTACTTAACAATGCTGTTCACCATATGTTCGATACATTTCAACAAGGTTTAATTATGTACATTCGTAAGGGTGGACGATATACGTTACACAATATTTATCTTTTCTCTTACTAACATGATAAAAAAAATAAATAAAATTTTATGATTCATTTAATATGTAAATTTTTATGTCTATTCAAGTATTAGAAAGAGAGAGAATTGAAGTTGCAAGAAAGTGCACGAGAAACAAATGCAAAGACCTAAAAGCAAGGCGTAATTTGAGAAAGCTGACAAGGTAATTGACGAAGACCTGAATTTAAGCGCGTAAGAAGCGCGCGTGTGGCTGTAACGCGCGATCGTGAAACATTGAAATTGTCTTTTTAGCTTATAGATTCTGTGCCGCCAATTCGTAGTATATTTATTACATTTTTTCAACAATATTTAGAAAAATCGTTATTTATAGCAATTTTTCAATCTATTGTACACTGCATCTTCATTAAATCTCAAATGGAAATTTTGTTAAAGTAAAATCCATTTGTACAAGTTAACTTGTACCAATCTATAGTAGTTATTGAATTTTGTAATCGATTTAATTTCTTAAAATTTAAATCACTACTACGGAGCAATCGGTTTCATAATCTTTAGGGGAAAAAAAAGGAATTTATAATTAGAAAGGGGGCATTCTGCATCTTTTCCCTGCAGGACTAGATCATTTATGCAGGTATAGTATAAATATATGTAATGTAATGTATAAAAGAATCGTTGTATGTAGCGAAAAGTTTCCGTCAATTGTTTCGTCTAACAATTAGATAAGAGAGAGAGCGTAGCATCAACAAGCAAACACCAATATCGACCAGTCCACCAGCTAGAGCTTTGCAATGACACACTCGAGACTAGACAGACGGACGAACGGGCGGATGGAGGGATGGACGGACAGATGGATCGATAAACGGATTCTCACCGTGTAGGTATCGCGATCGTTTTCGTCGCTCTCGGTCACATCAGTTGTTTGATACTCGTATTCCGCCTCGATGAAATCCTCCGAGTAGCGCACCCTTGGCGAATCGACGCGCACTTTCAAGCTCATCATCCTTTAGCTGCTTTAGCACCTCCGCTCCGAGATACAAAACAACACGAGAAATGAACGAGCAACGTAAAACAAATACGAAGCGCAAGCTGAAACGCAAGTACTCCGATTGCTCTTGAGGATTGAGCGTTGGATGCGGGTTGAAATATCGCGAGGTGCCGTGAGAAGAATCGCCGGTTCTAGAAATCAATCGATGTAGAATGTAGATTGTTAGTTAGATTCAAATTTAGATTATTATTCCGAGAAAATGACTCTCACCCTGTTGAAGTGCGCGCGAGACAATTTCGCGCGCGCTAACGGGCACGGGAAAATGGTCTTTAGAAAGGATTAAAAATTGATTCTTAAGTTTTCTCGAAAAATTACGAGTCATCACGACGCGTTTGTAGACGCGATGGACAAATAAAAATAACCTATAGGATTTTTTCAAAACCAAAAAAACCGAGCAACGTCCATTCTGATACACAGCTCGTATCACGGAAATTCAAAACTCACCAAAATTTATATTCGTGTCGGCGCGATACGCAAACACACGTCAAGAACGAAGATTGAGGGTGAGAGAGACGTGGATACAAAGCAGCAACGAGCCGAAAAGAGAAGAAGGCAAAAAGTATACTACGAGTCACAAGATTACGTTCGGTCAAGCCTTCCTTCGCGATCGTCTGCTAAAACGTAAATGCGGCGTGACCATCGTCATCCGTCGTCGTCGTCGTCGTTGTCGTCGTCGTCGCCGGTGCCGGCGCCGCCGCCGCCGCCGCCGCTGCCGCGTCGTCGCATCGATGGTTCTCGAACCGGCTGAGGGCAACCGCGGGGGTCGCGGGGCGCAAGTGCGCAAGCTTCACTCGCGACGTGGTGCTAGAAGGTGTTTGTTGGCCTCTTGGGGGTCGAATAGGGAATATAGGGGATGCGATTATGGAGACCTCTCGCCACTCTCGCAGAAACGTGCGATAGATACGCGCGATCGATATCGCGTATCTCTGCCCTCTGGCGATACTATCGCGAGAATTTTTTCGCGCGTCTTATGCATTTCTATTCCCTTGTGCATACAGCATGTAGCAAAATCAAACGGAACAACCTTTACATAAATATAAATGTGTATGTATGTATGTATGTACATACATGTGCAACAAGTAGTTAAGTTGTACTTGAAAATAAATTAAGAGATGACATTTTTTTATATTCATTAGTAATGCTATTCATTTCCGCGAGTCCTTAGAATTACAGAAAAGTTTATTATATATTCTGGATAACAGACGCGACAAAAGAAAATATAATGAAAAGAAATTAATTAATATACGAGGCACAATTAAATATTTTCAATCCATTTGACGCATCGCTGCAATTAACATATTATTATATTTCTTATTTAAAAAATTATCAACAGCTTTCGCATAATCGTTATACATATATCTGCAACTTGATTAACGACGCCTACAAATATAATATTTAGGAAGGTTCCTTTTTAGATAAGATAATCTATTGGAAAACATGATTCACATTATCCGGACAAAGAAATATACTGTGAGATATAATAGTGATATAAGTGAAGTAATGATAAAGGGGAAATATTCTATTACATCGCATACATGTCGTCAAAATGCCTGTCCATCTATTACTTTAGCCGAATAGAACAAGGGGCAATGGAAGAGGAAACATTGAGTAGATAGTGATCATGTTGGTTGAGATCATAGTCGGTAAGCGAGCCAAAGGGGAATTAGACGTGGGACCAGAGGCTAAATGTAGCGATAATTTAAGGCACAGGAAGTGACAATTAGTCAAGTCGGCGTCGAGTTACATCGACATTGAAGATTGAGTTCACATTGATCAGCTCTGTACAGACAATAAAAAATTACATTATACAAGCCCTGTATATATTTCGACCTAAGGAATGCTGCGCGAATTAAACCGAAAAGCACTATTGCGATAAAGATTTAAAAAATTATATTTTGACATTTAATATAGAATAATGTAGAATTCACTGTTATATTGCTTAACAGTAATGAATAAGTTTTATTACTTAAATATAATAATTAAATAAAAATTTATATATATAGAATGCCTAAATAATAGTTTATTTAAAATAGACATCTTATGTACACAAATGTGCTTTTGTTTATATAAGTATATTCTTGTTATAAAGAGGTAGGAGGAAGGGAAGAGGGGAAAGGAGGAAGAGAAAGAGAGAGAGAGAGAGAGGGGAGGGGGGGGAGG